GGGAAAGAGAAGCGTTAAGACAAAGGCAGCACCGCAGCAGGAAGCTGAATCCTGGGCCATAAGCTGAACCCATTTCACACCCCACCCCACCCCCCCATCCTCCACCTCAGCAGCTGCCAAACACCTGCTAGTTTTACACCCTGAATGATAATTTTAGGTTGGGTAGTGCACCTGCCCCAATAGGTTTAACACCTTCTCTCCAAGATTCCCAATTCTGGGCTTTCTTTGCCCTCCCACAATAGTTCAAAGAAAGGCTGCACTGAAAGGACTGTTCTTTGCAGAGCTGCTGCTCCTTGGATATAAATGAAAGTGTCCAAAAGAGCACGGGAGCACCTCATTGCTGTGCTGTAGGTTTTCTAGGGGAACCCAGGTGCCATATGTTCCTGGGCGCATGTGTTTCGCTGCAACAGAAAGTCACTGCTGAGCAAAAGAGAAAGCTCAGAGTCCTACAATCTTAGTGTTCTTACCAATACAGTTATTGTGAGCCTAGCAAGGATAAAATCCTAACCTGGGCACAGCACTCAGGAGACACAAGACAATAATGTAGTGACCACAGGGCTCACTCACCTCAGCACCCCGAGGGGATGAGCACACAGAAAGTTGTAGTAGCAGATGTCCTGATTGCCTGTCACATTCACTACCTGGACAGAAAGGAGGCAGGAGACCTGATATTAGCAAATCCTCCCTGTTCTGGACCGTTTGCTTCATGCAAACACTGTACACAAGGTGTATCAGGACACAGCCTAGCTCTAGCACTAGCACAGGGGAGTACTGACATCTGCAACTGAAGCTTTTGATGGGGGCAAAACGTTGCAGCAGGCCACAAACCTGACAACAGTCTTCAGAAGAAACGTATTGTGTGCTCTCAAGCCTACCACTAACAGATCTGCTTGCAGATATCTGAATAACAGCAGGATAGCAAGGGCAGGGTGGGGAAAATGGAGGAGAAGTCACTCGTATCACAAGCAAACCCTACTTGCTTTCTGATGTCTTTAAAGATAACAGCCGATTCCTCCTGCCTCTAAAAATGAAACAGGCCCCAAATAAGACATCAGATGAGCAGGAGAACAGCTGCACTCTCGCTTCCCAAACAAAAATAGCAGAACTGCAAGCTTAGCAAGCCAAGCCAGTAGCAACACTCAACATGCAGTGCAGAGATTGCAGCTAAGGTACACTGCCTCTCAGACAGAGACGGAGTCCTGGGTGATCCCAGGTTCACTGCGACTATCATCCTTACACCATGCAACCACAGAGCAAGTTTAGAGGCAAGAGTACCCAAGCACAGCGGACAGCCAACATAGAGCCCAACGCACCGTCTGGTAAGTGATGACGAGCTGGATGACCGGCAGGGCGTAAAACACAGCAATGGTGATGATGTTCCTGCAGAGGAGACAGTAGCAGCAGTTACACACACCAAAACAATTGGTGCACAACCAGCCCCCACAGTGCTCGTGGAGGAATGTGTACACCTCTGTGCCTAAGGACACAGATCCTGCTCTTCCAGCTGGAGCTTTATACCTCTGGTTATCATCTCCTGCAGCAGAAGAGCAAACATGCTAATGCAAACAGGAGACAAATGCTAAGGGCGTAAGAAAAGCCAGAATGTGGACCACAAGCTCATGTGTTTGAGTGCCAATTTCTCCCCTTCCCCAGTATGTTCCAGCACACTGGTTGTTATCACACTTCAAAGCAATTGTGCAAACCAGAATCCATCGCCAGGATCATGTGTGCACTGGTCCACAAATATCCTTATTTGAGGTATGTGAGATCTGCAGTTACTGGTTGGAAGAGGGTCAGAATATGTAAAAGGATGGCTCAAAGAATATCCTCAGGTCTAAAGTGTGGTTCAGAAGGGCATGTGGACAGACTCCACAACCAAAGCCTGGGTCCAGAGCTTGGGCCTTACCAGAAATAGATTTTGTATTTTTTGCTGACAATCCTTCGGTCCTTCCTGGATAAGTCTGACAGATAGAGGAACACCTAAAACATTAGTGCAGAAAGAGGGAAGAAAACAGAAAAGAACTAATGAAGACTACAGAAACCAGTAGAAGATCTTGTTTGGGTTTTGTTTGTTTGTTTTTTAAACACAGTGAGCTCATTGTGTGCCTTGATTCTGTGGGGAATGAGTTCTGCAAAACCCTCTGACCTCCATGAATAGCTCTGACCACACAGAGCAGTACGGGGTGACAAAAGGAGGCAGTTTGAGAGCTGCTAGCTTAAAGCCCCTCTGTACATCCACTGCAGTGACACTACTCATACCAGATAACTACCTATTATTACACATTATTTTCTCCTTTTACTGTCCCAACCCCTTGGACTTTCTGGGACACTCCGGGCTTCTTTTTTCTTTCTCAAAAGTATACATTCTGATTTTCTATATTAAATCACTCATTTCAGCAGTACGCTTAGCACAACAGGAAAACTTTATAGAGTCTGAAAAGGCACCAAGAAGAAGCACATTCCACTTTATTAGATTAAATCCACCTAAAAGGGAAGTGGAAACTTAAAAACCCTAGCAGGTGACAAGCGCTGATCCTGGCCCAGATGTGTCCATGGCCCAGCATCACAGCCACAGCTGCAATGCCAGCCATACCTTAGTGCGGATGACATTCTTGTCGCTTTCAATTTCTGGCATGGTGTCAAAGTCACTCTCCTCCTCCACAGAGCTGTCTGTGTCAGAACCAGCTGGCTGCCCGCGCTCAGAGGAAGACAATTGATGTCCACCACTGGAGCTTGACTCATCTGGAGCAAAGGAGGGAAAAGGAAACAGGCAGAATAAAGGCTAAATCCCTCTCTGCACAGCAACAAGAAAGCTGCCCCGGGTATTGGCCACAATCTGCTGGGACAAGTTGATATGGCCATTTCGGGGAACAAGTTTTCCCATGATCACAAACCTTTCTAAAAGTCTCAGATATCCAGTAAGAGCACTTTCAAGGACCATCTTCCCCCTTCTGCAGCATTTTGGTTTTCCCCCTGCTTTTATTCTATTACTTTTCAGCTCTAGTATTTTCTACTCTTTACTAGCCTAGGCTCTGAAATGCAGAAGTCTGAAACAAGACAGAAAGCTCTCGTGAAAGTAGCAGACTGTTCAGGGGTCAGAAACAGGCTGACCTAATTAATCTCAAGATTTTATATAAGCTTTATGTATAAGTTTTTCTAAAAATATTGTAGAACAAAAGACAAAGAGGAAGAAAGTCAGTTTTTCAAAGCAGGCAGATAATCAGCTTTGCTGCCATTGCATGCACAGTATCTGTCACCTGCAGGTCAGCAGGACCTGCCTGAACTTCCCACAGGCCGGCCAACCTCCCAGCCAGCCCGCTGCTCATACTGGCATGAGCAGAACACAAGTTTCTTCCTCATTTCCCAAATATATTCCTTAGGAATTGGGGAAGGGGAATAGGGTGGTGCTGAAGACCTGGACTTAAATCATCCTGATTTTTTCCCAAACCTCATGAAATATCAGTTCTGTGTTTCTTTGTCAGGTGTTCAGAGATATCATACCTTCGCAGTCCAACAACTGGGCAACATCTAGACCGTCAGGGCTGTATTTACACCACAGTGAGCAAATGCATCCTGAGCTGGGACAAAAAAAATTGTGGAGCTCTCCTCTCTCCTTTGAGCAGCTGCCTCACACTGCCCTGGACCTGCACCACCTCACCCTCCAACCTGGGTCCCCAAGCTGCCAAATTCAAGGATTATGCCCAAAAGTCCACAGCAATGAGCTATTCAATACCAATCCCTCCACAGGAGGGAGAACTTCTGTAAGGAGACTAAGAAACTCTAGCGAAGGAAGGCATTTCCCATCATCTCAGATTAGCAGGACCCTTGGGAGTTTTTGTTCCTCTTCGGCTGCCAGGGCATGGTTCAGCTGTTGACAGCATGACATTATTTCTCCCCGAATGAAACCTCTAGACCACAAAAAACTCTGATTGTGTCTTGCCTTGCAGTATATAACCCTTCAGCCTTCCAGTGAAAAGCATGCTTTGGTCTAAAGGCAGGCTTGATAAGCTAATAACAGACTCCTAGAAGCTTGGTTAGAAGGGACTTTTGCAAGTCCCTAGTCAACCTCCTACCTGAAGCAGCATTATCACCAACACTTATCAGGTGACTGTGGCTTTGTCTAGCTGAGACTAACATTTCCAGTGACAGAGTCTCTCTGGGCACCTCTTCCAGAGATTTGCCACCTTTTTGATGTAGGTGTTTTGCCCTAAAAGTGCAACCTGAACCTCCCAAGCAGCAATTTTTCTTTTTCCTGCCCCCAAGTAGCTGCTTTAGGAGTAGTTTGCAACTTGCAGCTTTATTTCCTTCTGCCTTTCAAGCACCTTAAAGTGCCTTCCCCTGCCCCAGGCAGAACCCTCCCCATGCCCCCAGTTCTGGAAGATACTGTACCGATAGCACCATAGCTGCTTCCCTCAGGGGTGCTGGCTGTGATGGGGTGCGAAGACGTCATAATCCCAGATCCTGCAACGGAAACAGACCCAAAAGGGACAGTTGCATGTCAGTGCTTCGAAACACGTCGCCGAGGTGAATATAAACAGCTTGAAGAGCTGGAGGGGCTTGGGAAAAGCAGCATTTCTCCAAACAGATGGCAGTCTCCCTCTACAGCATGCTTTGCAAGGTGAAGCAAACCCCACACAGGCCGCCACTTAAACTCACAAAAGCACGAGCCTCCCTCCAGCACTGGGATTTTTCCCACCTGGTTTCACATTGTCTTTCTGCCTGGCACTGGTTTGATCCCTCTGTGGTTGGGCTCAGCTGCCAAACTGGCAGCAGACAAACACGTCAGGAAACACAGCCAGCTGAACCTCTTCACAGAGGGGTCAAATACCCACCTTCCCAAAAGGAAGGGAGCAAGAGGAGCATGACCACACCTTCCAGTGGTGGCAAACAGCAAGCCAGGTCCAGCAGCTTGGAAAGCTTCACCCTCATAACAACATGGCGTGGCCTGTCAGCAGCAAAGGGACGCAGAACATGGGACAGTATTTAAAGCCAAGCAACCTTACTGCAGCCTGGCAATGGCCTGGCTTCCCAGTACCTGATCTGTCCTATACTGACAGGCACAGGCAGATTCCTCTTTCCAGCTACCCATTCTGAGCACTTCTGTAACACCTTATGTAGGTTTTTATACCATTTCCATTAGCCACGTACATAAAGAGCCCCAAGACTTTTCCCTGCCTGAGACCAATTCCTAGGCAGGGAGCACCCATACAGCAATGACATTTGATGTTTCAAGTCCAAATTACTGCTTTCCTTTGACATGTTCACTATGCTTGTTGGGCTGTGGGCTAAGACTTGGTCTGCATTTCAGCTTCTCTATCCTCCTGCCCCATCCCTCTGACAGGGCAACAAACAGCTCGGAGGAGCATCTGAAGTGGACAACGTGGCATGGACTGAGCACTAGAGGGAAGGCTCTGGCATACTGCAGCCCCCCACATGACACCCATTCAGCCCTGAGCTAGTGTTAGCAGGAGGTTTTTGTAGGTTCCTGCAGGACCAAGGTCCACCTTCTACTCTTCACCTGCTGTGCAACCCTCCCTCTCTTGTGGCAGTTTTTTCTGTTGCTTTAATATCATTTGGAAATCCAGATCATTAGGAAGAGGGCGAGAGAAGCATTTCCCCATGTTCATAGCACCAAGGCACACGCACGCTTCCTTCTCTCATCAGTCCTGTCCCACAGGGATGCTCCCTCCCTATTTTAGACTAGGCTTTATGCTCTCAAGTGACTTGTCAACCTTCTCTCCCAAGTAACCAAAGGAAGATTTAAATCTGGACAAAGCAGGGAGGCCATGGAGAAAAGGCACTCCCTGCCCTGTCTTTAACAGCTGCTTCAGACCCAGCTCACCCACTAATTTCAGTCCCACTCCCAGTGTGCAAGTGAGTCAGCAAAGTAAATGTACCACACTAGGTGTGGTTCCTCCAGCTATTGCCTCCACCAGGTAGTGATGATGTGGAATGGAAGGTGTCCCACAGGATTTAAAAAAAACAAATTAACCACAGAAGCCAGGCATAAAATGGGTGACAGGAGCAAAAGGGCACATGGAGCTGCAGGATATTCAAAGAAAACAGGCACAGACAGATTGCTCAGCACCTCCACCACACTTTCTTGGTGGGGAAGGGGAAACAAAAGGGGAGCAATGGAGAAAGCAAGAGCCACGGGTACTTTGGAGGAAGAGAAATTCCAGTGGGTAGGAAGAAGAGAAAAAAATTGAGAGAAAGCTAGCACACCCTGGGTGATCTAGAGGACAGATGGAACACCTCTCCTGAGAGTCAGCATTGTTCATCCTGGAGAAGAAAAGGCTCAGAGGAGACCTTATTGCAGCCTTTCAATACTTAAAGGGGGCTTATAAGAAAGATGGGGACAAACTTTTTAGCAGGGCCTGTAACGATAAGGACAAGGGGTAATGGGTTTAAACTAAAAGAGGAGAGATTCAGACTAGATATAAGGAAGAAGTTTTTTTACAATAATGGCGATGAAACAGAGGAACAGGTTGCCCAGAGAGGTGGTAGATGCCCACCGGAAACATTCAAGGTCAGGTTTGACTGGGCTCTGAGCAACCTGATCTAGTTGAAGATGTCCCTGCTCATTGCAGGGGGGGGTGGACTAGATGACCTTTAAAGGTGCCTTCCAACCCAAACCATTTATGACAGGGAAGATGCTAGCTACCATTTTATAGGCATCAGTAAGACACACACCCTGAAGAGAGACAATAGAGAAAGAAGCAGTACAAGGGTAGGACATGGCTCCTCCCCAGAGAAAAGGACTCTGTGAAGGTGGCGTAGAGTACAAGGGAGAGGACTGGCCACAGAAGGAGCAGGTCCCTATGTGAGGAAACCTATGAACTCTGAAGGAACTGCACTCCCCTGTCCTTTCACAGGGATACTGTTCAACAATCCTCCCTGCCCAGAAACCCAGCTTTTCCCTCCATGTCCATGTTAAACACAGCATCTGTGCCTTGCATCTTCTTTGGGAACTTCCCAAGCACCAGACTTTAACTTCCACCTCTCTCCAAGACAGCTTGGAAAGCAACTTCTAAAGCTGCCTTCAGCACTTGAACCCTCAGCTGCAGCACCAGCAGCATTCCCTGGGGCTTCTGGTCTCCTGGCTGAGACTGTGCCTCCTTGCCTTAGACAGTGATCCCTTGTCACCACCCTGGAACTCTTCCAGGGCCTTGGCCAGGGGCCTTCAGCTTCTCCAAGCTCCAACACGCAGGCTCTTCCCATTTCTCCAGTGCCCTAAGAACTACTGTTGTCTCACAGCAGGATCCATCCCAAGTGACTTAAAATTTTTAAGCACACTTTTACAGTCCCCTGCTCGTTTTGTTGAAAGAAAACCTTTCACACACATTCCACACACAGGGATGCCTATGTGGATCTCAGTGCCTGAAGAAGCCACTCCTGAGAAACCAATCACCCCCAAGTCCTTGGCAGAAATATTAACCCAAGTAATGCCAGGTCAGAGTGAAGTTTCACTGCTGATCCTTTAAGCACAGCTTAGTTATACTAGTATGCTTATCTAGTGGTATGTAGCAGACTGGAGAGACTGAAGAAGCTGGGGATTAAAAAAGGAAACACACCAAGAACCTTTCAACGCTGCCAAAACATAACATCCTCCCTTTCCCCAGGAGAAAGGTACAAATGATGATGCCTTTATCCTCAGATCAATACTTTGAACTACTTTGCAGGCACTAAATATTTAAACAAAATGAAACTGCCAGTCTCCCCCACTTCTCCAGAAAGCAGAGACTCCTAGTGCCCCCCATCCACATGACAAAAATTTCCGTCTTTCACTGGTAACCTCTTAAATGCACCTATGTTTTTATAATGCAGAAATCTGCAGTATGTCGAAATGTGGGTGCAGCATAAAGTAAACTGAATCCAATACCAAAGTAAATACTAAACACCACTACCTAACTGTATTAGTCATTCATTCACTTGGTCATCTGCAACTCCCAGTTAAAAACAAATTAAAACTTAACTTAAAAAATTAGAGACCCCATGCTTGAACCAGGCACAGGAATCTTAAAGCATAAGAGGCGATAAACTCAAAGTGTCTTGTTTAGAAATTAACAGATCTGGCAGCAGTAACATTAGCCTGTAGCCAGGTGTAGCCAAGGCTTGCCCTTCCTCCACCCCTCCAAAAGTCAGGTCCTCAAGGCAGGGGTCAGGATCAGGTTCAGGGGAGCCTGCTTAAAATGCCCACTCTTGTGAGGACAGAGAGGAAGCTCTAACATCTTTCATCAGCGCCAGAGACTATGTGGTACGTGTACAGGGAAGAAGGCTTGAAGGGACAGAAGGCACCTCGCTGACAGTCTGTCCCTTGACTGGCCTGGGACCCGTGCTGTTCACTTAAAGCTGTCACACAACAGAAGAGAGACCTTACCATCCTCAGGACTCAATCTCCCAGCTGAAGCCTTCCTCTGAACCCTGAAAAAGAACAGGCAGCACTCATGAGATAATCCTGCTGTGATGGGGTTTGGCTATCTAGGACACCAACAGGTAAACATAGTACAAGTGATAAAAAAAAGAAAACAACAAACCCAAGCAGGAAAAAGAAACAACATACTAGGCACGGTTCAGCCATGACTGCTTGCTGTCCACCTCTCAGATTTCCAAAGCAACAGAGGTTTTTCTTACCCCCTCAGTTATCTACTAGAGATAGGACAACCAGTTACATGACCGTCCCATCCTGCACTGCATGTTGGGAGAGACTCTCAGAACCCAAACTCCCCTGCTCAGGGGACCAAGCGCATAAGAATCTACTGAAAGGGCAGCAGGAGCTAGAGGCATGCATCACCACAATGCTCAAGAAGCCAATACCATCTCCTTCAATGCAGGTGCCAAGCTAGGGAGGGTAAGTAAAAAAATCCAAAATATGCTCACAACAAAGAAAAAGTAACAGCAAAAAAGAGCACACAGACACAAGTAATTTAATTTAATTTTCTAATGCAATGCTGTTTCACTGATGTGTCTTGAAGTTAAGCCCTTTCTCCCATCTTGAAATTGTTTTGTTTCAGAGCACCGAACTTTTAAGATCCACTCTTCTGAAGCTGAAAACTCTGCCACATTCAGTCTGAGGAGCTGGCTGATAAGTGTGGTTCCCACAAAACCAACCTGCTATTTGCTGAAAGCTTTATATGGTTCTTCTCATTCCAACCTTTGCCCAAGTAGGGCAGGAAGGAGTGTTGAAGGAGCCCCCCTACTCTCAAGCCTCCATGGTTTGGACAAAGGATTCACTCAACCATTCTACACAGGCAGCAGCGACAGATCCCAACGAAGTCCACCATCTTACGAGCACCTGCCTGCTGCCCTGCTAAGGCTTTCATCTTGTGATAGCAGTTATGTGCCCTACAGGAGCAAATCTTACCTCCCTTTTAGGCTGCTGTCTCCTTCCTGCCCCTCCAGTCCTGTTCTCACTCAAGAGAACTTCAAGATCACCTCCAGTGAGCAAGAGAACCCTGGGGCAACAGGAAGGGTTTTGCTTCCCACCCACCCCCCACCCATGTTCCACAAGAGCGACCTGTCATGGCAGCTGTGCAAAGTTCACCTCAGATGCAGATATTCCCCTCAACACAAGCCCAGGCTTCAAGGTCTGGGGCAGGGGAGGCAGGTCAGGAAGGAAACCAGCACTCTTGGGGCTCCAAGGCCCTAACTGGGACACTGCCACTTACTACAGTACTCGGTCCAGCACTCTGGGAAGTACCTTGATTCCCAATACTCTGGCATCCCATATCCTAGGCTGGCCCCATCACAACTCCCACCTACCACCCAGTGTCCTTATACAAGTAAACCCAGGAGTAGGGGCACTACAAAAGCTAGAGGACAGAGCCTTAAGTTTTCATCATGATTTTCATCATTTTTGCCATGATAGCCACAGCAGAGGAAGAAAAGTTTTCTGGCTGATCGTCAGTAGGAACCCACTGAGTGGGCTCCACTGAGTCATGGACTTGTTTGGCTGCTCTGTTCAGATGCTTGCTACCCCACTTGCCCTGAATTCACTGCAGAGTTCACTGCATCTCTGAGGATGAAGAGAAACACAAAGGCTGTTCCTGTAAAACCCCTCAACTCACCTGATGTAGTGCACAAAAGCAACCACCACTGAGCCCAGGTAAAAGGAGAGGAAACTCAGGAAGCTGAAGAACATGGCCTGGACATAAACAGACTCTGAGGAAAATGAAGGCATCAGTCAGCTCACAGAGTAGGGACAGCCATTCTCAGAGCCAGCACTCCTGGTCCTGCTCTTCCCAATACCACCTGGTAACAATGCCCAGCTGCAAACAGTCCTTCAAGACCCATCTGCTTTCTTCAAGAGGAATCAACAGAACCTGTTGCAAGGTACACACACCACACACACACACACCCCCCACCACCATTTCTTCATTCCCACTGCTAGCTGGTGTGCCCATGAGACCACCCTGTGCCACACAACACCTCCTGGAAGGGACCAGGGCTGCAATGGTTTTGACTCCTCTGCTGGTGCTTTCTGCACCATCCCATCAGAGGGCTGCCAGCCCAGCTGTACCCTCCTACACAGAACTTCCAAGTATCCCTATAAAGCTGCATTGCTCTGCGCAAGGACACTGACTTTTAATAGAAGGCACAATTGTCACTTGAAGGTTCTTCGTCCTCTGCAGGTTCCAGGTACGGTTGACATTCCCTGTGAAATGCAAAACGTACAGCAAATGTAAAAACAATCAAACACTAGTGATCTCTGGCCCTTATCTCAGTTCTCTGCACTTGCAAAAACACCAGAGTCTGTCTTTTCACTAAAATATGCATGTGGTTTTGCTCTAAACCGTTCCCAGACTTGTCAATGCCTTTTCCATGTTTCCCCCACCTCCCTTCTATCCACAGCCTGTTTTTCAGGCTAAAAATCCCTTTTGTGTGGAGTCTTCCATACATTGCTCAAGTCTGGATGCCCGAATCCCACAGGCATTTCATCTCATATTCATCTAGTCCCCAAAGGGCAGTTCCTGTCACTGCATATACCGGGACACCATTTTTGCCTTTGGACAAAACTCTGCTGGCAAGACACTGCTGTGCAGGATGCCATGCTGCAGCCTTGTTATGTTTCAGCAGGGCTTAGCACACTCTGCCAGTACAGCTCTGCTGACAGCTTCAGGATAAGAGAAAGACACCTGGAAGGTGATAATTTCTTTTTTAAGGTGGGAGTTAGAGCCTATTGGTTGCAGTCTTGCTTCTCCTACAGTGAGGAAGGCAGCCAGCTTTGAGGACAGGAATGTCCCTGGTCTGAAATGGGCTCAGCTTGTCATGGGGACAGCTGCACCCCCACTCCAGTTTCACCCACCGCATGAGTGGTAGAGACTTTGCTTTTACCTCTGCCCAGTAGGTGGACACAGAGTTTTCTGGCTGGGAAAGGTACCAGAAGAAGTCCCTCATAAGATTATTCCCCTCCAAAATTACTAGTTTTTCCTGTTCCCTCCAAGTCAGGAGGCTGTCATAGATCCCAAGATAGCAGCTGGAGAAGGTGCTCTCTACAGGAACTGCCACCTGGGCCTCCATGCAGGCAGGAGGATAAAAGACACCAACAACTCCTCAAAAAGAGCACATAACCCCAGCAAGCCAGGTGCCGTACTAGACAGCCACTTCCAGGGTTGATCAAGACTTTTAACCTACTCGACAATACTAAGTTTGTACTTCAATCTTCCTCACAGCTACCTGGATACGATAGAGCTATATGGCCATACTGTGTCATCCCACAGGAAGGTCCCCAAGGACTCCTGCTGCTCCACCAGCTGGATGCAGCAACCAAATCCACCTCCCAGTGCAACTTACCATGAATGGAGGAAGGCACAGAACCCCCACAGGCATAATCCTCTGGCTTGATGACAAACACAACAAAGAACTGCTCACCTGGGAAGTCCTTTCTCTGTATGGGAGAACAGAAAATGACAGTATCCATGAGAAGTGAGGCAGCCTCTCCCTCCAATGCAAAGCAGAGGTGATGATCTCCACAGGCCCAGAGGTCAGGTTTTAGTTGCTACACAGGCACCAGCCTTACAGACACCTGCCTGTTCTGGGCAGAGCTTAGCTTCTGGGGATGTTCCCCTCTTCCTTGCTGACAATAAGCTGACTGAATTTGTCAGTACACAGTACAGCAGTGCCCTAGTACAACCAAACAAGTGCCTAATGCATGTATTTATTTTAATCACTGCAAAACACCTACCTAAACTTTGCTCATTATAAGGCCCTACTACTACCATTAGAAGATCTAAGGTTCGAACGTAATACACCTGGCTGCAGCCACTCCAATCTAGAGCCTCAGCACCTAAGACACAACACACCTACCTAAGCAAATGTGAACAAGGTTTTGTAGTAAAAGGTAACATCTCTTCTTCTACTGATATCAGCTCATATAATAAAAACAAAGGACCACAGCCATACCAGAATCAACAAAATAAAACTAGGGATGCACAGGGCAAGCCACTGAAAAAAACCCCAACACTGGGACAAAAATCAGCATCTCACCTGCACCGTTATGGCTGCCTGCTTTGTCATAGACTGGTAAACACCGTTGAACTCCACATTATGGTCCAGGTCATACACTGGGCACTAAAACAGACACAACTAAGGGTTAAACCAGGGGCAAAATCCAAATTAGTTTCACAGGGAGCCAGCAGGAGAACAGACAATGCAGAACAGCAGGAAAAGGCCACACTTGGGGTGACAAAGGGAGGAAAACAACCAGGAGACATTCAGAATTTAGAAAAGATGCTCTGAAGACACCACTTGTGGCCTGCACTCACTGATCTTGGCATTCTCACAAGAGGGCTGCAGTTTAATCTCAGAAGAGAATTCAGCCAGACTGATCACTCCACGATTCCCACAGGGCAGTGCATACACCCAGTTGTACACTGGTTCCATCACACACTTTACAATCTGTACTATATGCCAAGTGCTTGCCCTCATTTTAACCCTTTCCCACTACTCTTAATACCTGATAGGTTGAAAAATCACCTGTCACAGTCTCCCCTCCTGCCCTTTTACTATTCAACCACAGGTATGCGGGCAGGAGTTGATGTTACCCATTTCTCTCCTCACTCCAGGTATTAAAGGCAACTGCCAGGACTTCAGAGCCAGTAGCCAAGGCATCTTGCACCTCTGTCACCATCATGTTGCTCCCACACTGCAGGTCCCTGCATTGTTCAGGGGTGTGGGAAAGAAAAAATATGGGGCTATTTCCCAGCTGCGAGCAACAGCCAAGCTCCATGGCAGGGAACAGCTGTTCTCCCCTTCCCAGGAAAGGGGATGAGTAATTGTGGAGAGCAGAAATCAAACTGGAAAGATGAGATCTCATGTCTGGAAATCGGAAGCTCCCCATGCTGCCCCAAGCCCAGGAAGAGTCAAGGGAAGAGCACTGTCCCCTCCCTCAGTCACCAGCATCCCATCCAACAGCACTCCAGAGACAGACCCATGTCACAAGGCAGCAGGGTGTTAAACCTTATGAGGGGAACATAACAAATGCCCTATGGACAGGCTGGAGAGGAACAGCTTGTTCACTTATTCGCAGCGAAAATCTCTGTATGAGCTGCTTGAACTCAGCATCTCTGTCTTTGCCTCCTTCCGACAGGATTTTCATTCCTCTTTCATGAGCTCCAGCAGGCAGCTCCTTACCCTTCTCTGCTCAGACTTACCACAATATCCTGGACGGAGACAACTGAGCATGGGTAGACTGCATCAGACACCACTTTAATAATGACTGAATCGACATCCTGAGGAAACTTGTACAGAAAATACTGAGGAGAAAACAGAGTACTCAGAGTTATGATCCAGAAATCATACCTGCCAGTAGCTTCAGAGCCTCCCTAAAGTACCTGCACAGCCAGTTTTGGGGCTGGACATGGAGGGCTTTCACAAAAATTCAGATTTCAAATATTAGGACCTTACACTGCAGAAGAGCAGATTAAGTATGTACAGACAACTGTCCCCATTGCACAGCATGGTGTTAGACACAGGCACCTTCAACATGCAAGATACAACATAGCTTCTGCTCCCCTTAAGCTTTTTTCCACCTGACCAAGCTAAAATGACTTCATTTTATAGCCTACTCCATTTTATGTTGCTATGAGCACTTTCCAGATGTTTCCATACTGTACTTTATAGACAGAACACATCATGGAGTTTCTCTCAGATGGGTTGCCTCAAAGAGAGATTGTGGAAAGTATTAGGTCAAACAGTTGAACCCTGTCAAAAGTTTCATAAATAAATGCCTGTTGTAGGTTTAGGTTTTTGGGATTTGTTTGGTTTTGAGGGCGGGGGGTAATGGGGGCTTCTCACTTCAGCTTTGAAAAGAATTCAGCTATAGCTCTGAAAAAATTTGGGAGAGAGTAACATCTGCCAGTATTCCTACTTTTCTTCTGGGGGCAAGGAATGGTGTTCCTTGTGCCTCCATGCTTTGAGGCCCACAGGGCAGTCTGTGGGGGTCAGGAGATGCCCTTCTCTTCCCCAGTAAGAGCCTTTTCAGATTTGGGAAAAAGATGTCCCTAGCAACATCATTATTTACATATTTTTCCAGTAAAAGTTCGATGTACCACAGCAGCCAGCTGCTGGAGAAGTAGGGTTTCTGTGCCCACCCTAGCAGGCAGGCTTGCTGCAAGAGCTCCCATCACCTCGCATGGAGCCCAGGCCCTGAGAGCTCAGGCTCCCAGTCACAGCTACTATGAGGGGCTGATGCACACCTCACCCCACCTCAGAGGGGACACAAGGCTGAGGACTGCCACCAGCCATCTTCCTCCCTTCCTTATGGTCACCTGGCAGCTGTTTCTGGTTTTCCTTCCCCCATCCCCTACCCAGGAAGTAGAGGCCCCAACTGGAAGGGCAGGGATATGAAAGAAATCACACAAGCTTTTTCCAAGATGCCCATTTCTAGTAAAACGTTTATTCTCACCACCACCCCCACTCTGAGCAGGGTCCCTTCACTGCTGAGGGAGCACTGGCTCCAACCACAAGTCCTTACAAACTGACAACTCACCAAGCCGGTTTCTTCAGTGCATTTTATTTCCGCCAAGCAAGGAGGCTGGCGGTCTGAGCTCCTTGGTTTGCCAGGTGCATGACCCTTGGAAAGCTTTAGGAAAACTTCCTTCAGGAAGTCACCCATGAGGACCCTTCTATAATTTGCTTTTTAAGCCACACATATCAGGGTACAGAATTAACATCAGGGGCATTGAGACCTACAGTTCCCTCCTGCACAGACTGTGAGTGGTATGAACACTCCTGACCTATACAAGCATATCTAATTTCTCCTTCTCTCCTCAGGCATGAGCTGGGTTTTAGACAACAATTCTTTCGGTTGCCATGTTTGTTTTTTTCCAGTCTTAGGGCTATTCCAACACTCATCTAGATTTTGAATTGCCTTTTTTTTTTTTTTCTTCCCCCTGCAGACTACTTAACACTTTGATTTACAAAAACCTCAGCATTATACTAATTAAGAAGCACTCATCTTCTACTCTCTACATCTGGCTTATAATTATAAGTCACCAATCTCATATTAATCAAGAACAATAACTTTGACTTTGGTCTGTTAATTCCAGACTAGATCCTAAACACTTTATATTCAAATTACAAGTTCCTAAATAATGAGGGTTTATAAAGCACCACAACCATTCCCTGTCCTTCTATAGTATAAAATACTGCATGTATCTGCAAACCAACATAAGACATTTGACAGCAAAAAAAGATTAGCTGGGATGCCTGATGATAGGAAACCTAAAATTAAGTGGTGTTACTAACAGTGATAGCAACAACAAAAATGCAGTACCAGACAGCCTGGGTAAATTTACATAATCTCCCAGCTCTGTGAGCTCCTGTATCTCTATAGTTACTGCCAACAGCATTTTCATTCAAGAGAGGACTTGTATCTGCTGGGCTCTAAACAAGGCTGCTCAGCTGGATGTGCTGTACATCTGTGCCCTCTTCTGAACTAATAACCAGACTTATCAGGCATTTCATTTATCACCTCACAACTTGACTTGCTGCCTGAGCAAGGAATAACAGTCTGAGTCCTCTTGTAGCTTTACAGCTTACTTACTTATGTATTTATTTTTCTCCATCTTGGCTAGTCACACTAGGGCAAAGGAATTGGCTGGAACAAGACAGCGGTGCACACCATCTCACTTCCCATGAAGTGTAGCAGTCCAATGGCCTCTGGACTTCTGTACATTTCTGGAATTTCCTGAACTGCAGATACCATTCATTTGCTCTGGTCATGGTTTTGGGTTCACTTAATTGCTTTGCAAGAGGACCCAAATGTGCCCCTAGAGGGGCTGAACTGCTACCTTTATCCACAGAAAATTCAACTGTAAGGAAGTTTCCCTGCATCCTAAGAGGAAAACCACCTAGTCACATAAGGCTTTTGCCATCTCTAACAAAGGATCACATGAACCATTTGGATGTGGCAAAACATACAAGCAACACCATGCAGGACTTCTCCTTACCTGGGGCTGGGAAGGACTGGCAATAAAGTTAAAGGCTTTGTTGGTCCTAGAAAAAAAAACGCCAGCATGTTGAAATCTAAAACCTTCAGAGTTGGAATACACACAAAGTACCTTCAGATTAAGCAAAAGAAAAAAATAACTTTTTTCTGGGAAGAAAAAGAAGGTAAGAGTAGGTATATAGACCAAATGTCTGTATTACAGATACATGAAGAAATTACATTTGTATTCTCATATCCCAGCTTACTCAAGTTGGAAGTTCTCCAGCCTGGTGACTAGCAGCTCATATGCAATATTAAATGGTGCCATGGAAGACACATCCACAAATATAATCTGGTCAGAGGGTCTTGTCTCAGGTGTTGGTTCAGAGGGACAGAGAGTCCGACCCACTTCTTGGTAATTGTAGGTTCTCTGATAGCTAGGGAAAGGAGGGAAGGGAAAATTGGATGGAAGAAAGAGAGAGATAGCAGTTTAAAAGTTGTTCTGCAGTTCTAAGAATGACATTATTTTCCCCCTGCTTGCATAACTGAAATACTAATCTGAAAGCCCAAGACCATTCAGTAATCTGAAAGCCCAAGACCATTCAGTCTTTCAGTCAGAGCTCAGACTCCACCTCTGTTGCCTCTTGTGGTCTGCATAAGGGACCGGTCATCCCCAGCATTTAATTTCTCTCAAGGCTGCCTGTTCCATCTGCAGATCTGGCACATCTGCCATTTTCTGGAGGCAGAGAGAGCAATGACAGCCACTGCTGTAACCATCCCCTGCATTAGCCGAGACACTGCAGGATACCTATTGCCTGGCACCAGAATTTCTGTCATAGGAAGAAGCTTCATATCTGAGATGGTCTAAGGTGTCTGCAAAGTCTCAGTCCTTACAGCCTGACTCTGAGGTTGCTGAAGCTACACAGCAGCAAGATTTTCACAAAGAAAACCCTCCCAAACCAATCACCACCCCTCAGAATAGACTCAACTTAGGTATAGCTGGGGTGAGAAACAGAGGAGAGCCCTTATTCCCTAAATGCGCTTTAACCCAGCAGTTACGGTGCTCTTTCAAGAGCTTGTTCAAACCCTGCTCCAAACTAGAACTCAAGAACTACGTGCAGGCACCATAAGCAACTGTGGAAATGACAACAATTACATTTGGTAGATTCACTGTCTAGTGACACTGTCTGCTGATCCTCAGCAGACAAGCCTCCTGGTACTCTGTGTACATATTTGAGAAACTAAGAGACAAGAGCAGACTGCCAAATGAGGTTACCTACCAAATCCTGGTCTTCCCACATTCAGTTGACAGTGAGCAAGCATGCTTTGCAACCAAGTCCTGCAGTCTACACAAGTAGCAAGATCTAGCACCAGAGGAATGCTGATGCCGAATACAGCTGGCAGACAAGTGTGTTACAAGGAAGAGACTCCAGTACTTACAGGCCTCGAAAGATTAGAGGGACCTGCCATGACAGCACTCCCTTCTGCTGGCGAACTACAAACAGGACAGGATATTGGAGGTTCTCAGAGCTGCTGTTCACATACACCCGCACTGCATCTACCTGTGGGAAGAGAAAGGAGAGTACAGGCAAGTGTTAGCCAAAGGCAAAGAACAAGACTGCTCCAAATCTAGGTGGGAGAAGCCTGTCCCCTTCCTCAGTCTGACCTAGATGCTGGCAAAATCCACAGGGAGATCAGCAGTGTTTGTCACTGGACTGTTTATTCAGATCCAGGGGTCATTTACAGAAGTGCCTCCTTGCTGCTGCTCTAATCCACGTCAGAGGTTGCTGTCAGACAAGACAGTGGACAAACACAGCAGACTTAAGCAGAAGAGAGTTCAGTAGCTTCCATTTACCCAACTGGGAGAAACCTGAATAACTTCTGTTATAAAATTAAGCAGACACACACAAAACATAGACAGCCCTCAGTTTACTATTTGCTTTGAGAAGCAAGCAAGCACTTTGTCTGCACCAAGTGGAAATGGCACCATTTCCATTTGAAAATAATATCTCTTCAGCTCCCTCTCCAGACCTGCATGCATTGCTCAAGAAAACAGGGTATGAGAATGCATAACTCATCAGAAGAGACAGTACCTCTCAATTAGAGGCCTTTAATTGATGAAAGCATATCAAGTAGATAGGACATACACATCTTATGCCCACCACATGTTGGAAAAATTAGAATGGATTCTCACTAGATCAGTGAAAGACTTTTCATAGATATCTCAACTTTGTACCCTCCAAGAAAATGTAGAAGGGGGTGCTACCTGAGATTGCAGCTTATGCTTACACGGAAGACACCAGGTTCAGGAAAAGGGCTTGCATCTGCAATCACAAGTCTAAAAGAATAAATAGGAAATTTTCTTGTTTAGTGTTTCTACGCTTACAGGAGAGTTTAGTTTATTGAAACAAAACACCTTCTGGAAAGCCCTTATCAACTTCCCTGCCATCACCACCATAATACAGAGACTACAGCCACCAATTCCTAAAAAATAACGTCTTCAGAAAAAAAAAAAAAAATCGTGAAATGAATTAAAACCCCTTTGATATAGAAGGGCAAACATTGGAATCTTTTTCCATTGCCTTCTGGTTTCTAAACCTTTGCAATACTCTTTTGGCACACCTTCCAGCTTTTCCTTCTGACCACAAAAACTACCTATGCAATTTTGTCTCCAAGCAAATTTCACAGTAGGGTGCTAAAACCAAGCCAAGCAAAACACTGTCACAAAGCAAGACTTACAGGTAACGCCTGTAGGGTATCAACACAGTAGGCCAGCAGAGTAACCTTCCAGTTCTCTCTGGCTTCCTTAGTCTCTGTGGCTGCCCTGCTCAACTGGGGGAGCCAGCCAGCCCTCATTGGTATAACTGGGAAAGGCAGGGACTGGGCTGAACAAGCTGCTGCTTGTTTGCTGTAGTCACTGTGAGAAGGAATGGGAACCCAAATGAAGTGAGGTTGGAACTGAACAATAAAATAAATCTAAGGAGTATGAAGACACAATGGTCAAGACAGAGTCCTGCAAGCACATGGAACCATTCTCCATCCATGGGGAAACCAACTATCGTTGCAGAAAAGACATATTCCAGCTGCCTCTTCAGCAGGTTTTCGCCCATGAAACAATTGAAGCAAGCCCATCTCCACAGGTGAAGTGGTGTACTGGTTGGACACCAGCCTGCGAACCCTCCAGGGCTCGGTGCATCAGCACAGTGCAATGAGGAGTGCACAAAAGACTCACAGCAAATGGTCCTACTGGGTTATAAATCCTCAGCTACTTGTAAATGCAAGACAGACAGTGGGAAATTCTCTTCTGCACTGTCTTCACAAATACAGGAACTATGCATAGTTATATATATGTTGCAGATAGTCAGGTTTACTTTAAACGTACAATTCATTTGTATTCATTGGAAGACTTAAAGTTGCATCTCTACTTCTAAATTCTCAATTTAGGAAATGTACCAGCTATTTGAAGTATATGCTAATGCTGAGCAGTACTAAAAAAAGAAAAAAGTATACTTTTACAGTTTGCCCAGGCTTTGGACACAGAAGTAAAAGCTGCATACATGTGAGAGTGCTGCTTCTTCCTACTTCCGATCTTCCCTTTCAGCAAACTAAGTATTTTCAATATTGATTCTAAGAGGAAAAACACATAAACAGAAATTCACAGACTGTTTACAAAAAGTCAGCCAAAACAAAAAACCAGCTCTGAGGTATCCTACAAAACACAGGAGAGCACTCTGTCTGTCATAAAAAAAGTATGGCTTTTGATATCTATTAAGACACAGCAAGAATAATTCAGTGATTTGATCTTAAGCCCTTTGAAAATCCCAGCTCTTCCCACTATTGCATTACAGTGCATACACAGCAAGTAATTCATCTCCAGTGACACAGTGTATTTTCCAGCTTTATCAGTTTCTCATGCCATTCAGCTTACACAAGTAAGAATACACGTTACCTGTATTCTACAGCGAGGACCATGGCCACGTAATCAAATACCATTTCATACATAGACAAGCACAACCACTGCCAACACAAGGCTGAAAGGACTACTTTTAATACCAGTATTTCATAGTCTGAGACCTTCACTAGACATTTTATGTGATCTTAAATATCTGTTGGGCCAGTTTGTGGAATTCCTAGATTTTAATATGAAGAGAGGGGAATACCACACCAAGACCACATTTCTGAACACTTCTACATATGATGATGTAAGGAAATGTTTTCTTAATATTCACCAAACAAAGCAGAGCCCAGAGTCCTATTCAAAGGGAAGGATTTTCTCTCCCAATGAAGTTTGCAAGGTATTGAGGTCTGCCGTTGCATACTTACCACTACGGGAGCTTTGCAAGATCCTTGCCTTGTGAAGCCCTGCATCAGATGTGGGGAATGTGCCCTGCTTCACAAACGAACAAAGTATTGCATGGGCAGATGAAAATGGCTGCTGCCTACCCCTTCCATACAGCTTGTACCCATACAGAAAGATGAGAAAACAGCTCTCATCTCCTTCAGGAGTACATAGCAATAGGGGCTGGAACCTTATGGAGGCGTAATCCCACGCACACCTTTGGTGAACGAGATCACCCAGCCAGCAAGGCTGCTTGTGAGAACAGCGGCTGGAAGCTTGTGGCTGGAATTAGGCTGGCTTACAAATGTATTTTGGAAAGCCCAGAAATAGGTTTGTTTTCAGAGTCACAACATTGTTGTGGTTGGAAGCAACCTCTTGAGATCACCTAGTCCAAACAAGTCAGCTGGAGCTGGTTACTCAGGGCTCAGTCAGGTTCTGGATATCTCCACAGACTGGAACTCCAGAACCTCTCAGGTAACCTGTTCCAGTCTTTGACTGCCCTCACAAAAAAAAACCCCAAAACAACCAAACACACCAAAAAAAACACCACACACCAAAAAAACCACACCAAACAAAAAAAGGTGTTCAGATGGAATTTCCTGTGTTTCAGGTTGTGCCCATTGCCTCTTGCCCTGTCACTGTGCATCACTGAGAAGAACCTGGCTACCTCTTCTTCATTCCCTCCCACCAGATGTTTACACAGGTTGATGAGATCCCCTGAGCCTTCTCTGTTCCAAGCTGAACAGTCCCAGCTCTCTCAGCCTCTTCTCATATGAAGCATGCTCCAATTCCTTAATGATCTCTATGGCCCTACACTGGACTCACTCCAGTAAGCCCATGTATTTTTTGTACTGGGGAGACCAGAACTGGACACAGTACTCCAGGTGTGAAAGCCTTGCAGCTTTCTAACTGCCCAAGGCAACTCTGTAAAGCATAACTCTCCCTTCTTTTACAAGACAAAGCCACCTATGTAAGAGCTTCCTGGACAAGCCCAACAGTTAAAC